TTAGAAAAGGAAAATAGGATCTTGACCACAATTACCTTTTTGTACACAGCCTCAGAAATTAGTGCATAATACACATAAATTACAGGTTGTTCTTCAACAACTTGAAGCACCGTGACAGAGAAAGCACAAAGCGATCCCAATTGAAGACTTGGTCAACAAAACGGAGGAGTACGTAGTTCAACGCTAGACTGACATAAGTCGATTCTAAAAAGTTGATGTTAATATCAGTAACGACATGATACGTGGCCCAGTGAGTAAGCTAAACAAAGACGCTGAGACAGTCGGGCCCCAGGCCGGTGACGACTGCCTAAACTACTCGCTGCGTATTTGAAATAAATCCGTCCAAAAGTTATGAGCCGCACGGTTTAGTCTTCGGGGCTGAACACGATTTTTCTCCGTAACACATTTAATCAATAGAAAAGCACTGAGCTACAACACCTGCCTCTTTGAAGCAATCGGTTTTGACTGGTCCCTCCAGCGGTCGCTGTCAAGAAGTTTCACTGTAGTAGAGAACCAGAATCGCTAGCATTACCTCGAGATGTATTTGTATTAACTTATCACGATTTTTCAGTGATTCGATCAGTGAACATTGCTCGTAGGAAACGAGAATAATATGAATACATTCAAGATGAATCAAGTAGCTATCCACAAGCATTTGATGAAATACATCGCCTGTGAATATGACCTCATTCTTAACTGATGAACTATTGCAAACGTGAAAACGTGAAAACCATGGTGATCTCAGCCTGGTTCCCGTCGCATCTGAAGTGCTCTCTGGCATTATTTTGCGCAGGTTGATGGATTATCGGGAGAGACAGATTCGTGAGAATCAAGCTGGGTCTCGTCTTGGTCGAAGATGCGTCGATCATATCTTTACCTTGAGACAAATCCCTGTACAGCGCCAACGTCCCACGTTGGTCGTTTTTTGGATTTGAAAGCGTCGACCGTCAGCAACTTTGGCAGTGTCTGGCGATCAAAGGTGTCCTTTCCAAATTTCTCTCCCTTATGAGGACACCGTATCCGAACTTCTGTGAGCGCGTACGAGTATACGGGAAGCTCTCGTCATAGTTCACTAAGTCCGGTGGTGTAAAACAAGGCTGTCTTCGTTCCACTTTTTTCTTTGACTTCCTTATTGATATGCTGCATGAAATTCCCCTGGCTGCCTCAAACCTCGGGAGTCTAAATGTTCCCAGGACGTCCCCTCAAAGACATTGAATATACAGACGATATTGCTCCCCTTGGTTCAGATCCTTTCCAAATGCAAATGATTTTAAATAACCCAAATAACTCTGCCGCACGGTTTGCTATGCGCTTCACACCTGGAAAATGTGAAGCGCTGCTACGAGACTGTATGGGATCAAACCCACACCTCATGCTTGCAGCTGGAACCAATGTGCCTATGGCACACGGTTTACAGCTCATAAGCTGAATAGATCGACTGACTAACACCCTATAATTCCTTGTAAGCAGCGAGGACCCTATCGAACCGAAACAATGCACAAACTGCGTCTACCAAATTCACTGTACAGAATGTCCAGGTAAATAGTTAGTCCAGATAGGCAGGCGAATCGCGAAGAAAACGAAATGCGCGTCTTCCAGAACGGAATCCAATCAAGTTCAGAAAACTTGAACACGATCCAGTCATTGCACCTCAATTACGCCATCAGATAAACTTCGACCCAGTCAGGATTTAAGCCACATTTGGAACGTCTATGCATTGGAGACTAGAGATCAACACAACCGAACCGCGCCAACAATAGTGATGGAACCAGCATCCCATCTATCTGGTTTGGATATATTGCACAGCTTAGTAGCCATGGGTTAAGCAAGTCTCATTAGCCACGCATCATGGACAGAAAGCATACACAGAATAACGCACACAAGCACACAGAGCTAACACACCCACACACACTAGTCGCATCTGACTGCCGACTTATCACAGGAACACATAGCAGCAGACTCAGATGACACCGCACTTGACTCATATTTAATTGAATGCAGAAATCCTTGAAAAAGGTTCCCCACAGTGACCGAAACCTCGAATTACAACAGCTCATTTCACCATGTTGTTTTGACTTTAAATCACTTGGCATTCAATCTGATTGAGGAGACCCGACCCAAGTTTGATCCGAAACCCGTATTTATGTAGTTCATATTTCCATCTTTTCCACATGTCATATTCCTAAAAGCCGCATGCGGAGATGAGAGCGACTCAGTATCCGTACCATCGCGATATCGCCGTCGACGGCAACACCCCAGTAAGACATACTGGTGCCCGACTGACAAACAGCCATGAGGGAGGACCCAGTGAATAATTGAGAGCGGCTATACTAAAACGCCCCTGGTCACTAAAAAACAAGAATAGTATACCTACATTTCTGAACGGCATTGACACAGATGTCGGATTGAGACAACAGACGTAACTGACTCGGCGTCTTTACGAACCTAACTCAACACAAGCCCTAAGCAGAACGCCAGACGAACTTCAGCTAAGTGGTAGAGTGTGCCCCACTTCGATCGGCCACGTGAATATCCTGTAAGATACCAAGCTATGTACAGGAAACACCCCGTGGGCGACCGCCAGAAAGACTAGAGGAGTCCACAGCACTCAATTGGAACGTGGCTGCTGTCAGTTTGCGTTACCTACGACGTGTTCTCCTTCGAACCCCTCGTCAACAACAATCTAGAAGGGATTTGTTTGGGAATAACTTTTAGTGAACATGAGTGCCTGATAACTAAATTGACCGCAGAGCAACAGTTGAACCTTGTGGAGGGGATTCTGGTGACGATCAGCGAGAGAAAAGCTGCAGAGACGAGTGATACTCCCAGACTGTCAAGGATGAGGAAGATGGTTTGTTTAAAGTATCCACTTTCAACGCTCGGTTTGAAAGTCACGCGATAATAGACTGCAGGGTTTGTTCCAGGAACCTGACCATCGACCCGCACGGCCGCGGAGGACTGGTCTACCTCAAAGACTATGAAGTAAAGCACACATACCTCATCTTTGATGCTACTGTGCACAACAGATGCGCTTGGAATCGCGTTGGGCTATTCAAATGTTCTAGTCGCATTTCGATCAATTGAGTAGTGTACCTACGGTCACGGCTAATCATTAGGGTGATTGGAATATGCGATTGGTCTGTTCTTTCCCGCCCAACCTCGGGGGAAGACAGCGTGGGTGCTTCCATGAATAGGGACATGCTGGTCACCTGAAGGAAACACTTTACTACCTTCATACTCCTATCCTAGGCAGCACGACCCCAGCCCTAAGCGGCCCCATAACACCGTTGCTCATAACAAAGGGCTACTATTCCGTATCGGACTGCATCCCTTTGTTTTTTTGGCATAATTAAACCCAATGGAGTAGAGTTTCAACCAATGCTGCCTGGAACACCAAAGGTTTTAGCCCACGATTGTACGGCAGTTGGGCACTGGTTTTTTGTCGTCAATGATTATGTTGGCACTCTCCTTGAGTTGATGGGCTGATAACAAATTGTAGGTTACGTCGGTAAGAATACACTCGTGAGAAGGCCATCTCCCTCGCAAATATCCTTTTTTCAGTTTTGTACTGTGTGGAAATGACCGAGAGACCAAGCTATGGCCTGGCAACGATGTATGAAAGCGTGGCCACTGAACTGGATTGACAGCTGCCAATTCTCTGGATAGGGAACAAGAGACTGGACCCTGTACCTCTTGTTATGCTATGGAGACACTGGTGACCAAAAGCATAAATCCTTCAGGTCAGACTTTGCAAGCATAAAGTAAGACCCCTCTTGCAGTTGCACTTAGCTCCGGTGAGATTTATTTCCAACACCACTATGAGTTGGCGAATGTTCCTACTGCGTTGGCCTCGTCTGCTGCCGTACACTTACAGCCTATGTCACTGTCAAGATATGTACATTTATCCCGAAATTTCGAAGGGTATAGGAACACTAGAGATCTTCATTTTACGTAGGACAATCTATTCGGACAAACAGCCAAATAAGGAGGAAATGTCGTCCGCGTAATCCAAGTAGACTTTCTCCAACCTCGATTCTAATACTTATATTCACTCCCCTGCAGCATATGTTCAATGATGAAAAAAGCAAAAATAGAAATCAGAACCTTGGCAAACCACCTGGTTGTGGTAAAACCTTTAGAAAACTCAAAGTAGATCTTCAAGCGGCCTGAAGCGTAGAGAGGAGCGCGAAGAATCTTTACAGACTTCAATGTCAATACGTCTAGCCCAGTTTATGCAAATTCATCATCATCATCATCACCATCATCATCATCATCATCATCATCATCATCATCAGAAACGAAGAATAGGCTTCCTCAATGTTGAGTAATCGTGATTGTCCGCAGACGATATGCGTGACGATGCACAAACACAAACAAATACGATCATGGAAGACTCACTCCCAGCCTCTAATGCCTATGGGGTCAAAGTGCTACCTGGGCCTCCGCTCACAGATATCGAGTACGAAGACGACATAGCTCTTCTGGGATCTGATCGCGTGGTAATGCAAACAATACTAAATAATCTGAATAATTCTGCCTCGCGGTTTGGCATGTGCTTCACACCTGCAAAGTGTAAATTGCTACTGCAAGACTGGGTGGGCTCGAACCCTAGCCTCACGCTTGCGGATGAACCGATTGAGGTAGTAGACAGATTTGTTTGCCTGGGCAGCTGTAACAGTCCCGGTGGTCTCGTGAAGATGATATTTCCATCCGTATTGGGAAGGCCAGAGCAGGTTTTGCGAACCTGCGTCACCTGTGGCGTAGGCGTGACATCGGCTTCTCTGTCAAGGGTCGAGTTTACAGTGCTGCGGTGCGCTCCATATTACTATATGGATCAGAAACCTGGCCGCTGGGCGCCGAGGACGTCAAAAGACTTCCAGTGTTTGACCATCGATGTCTTCGGAGCGTTGCCCGAATCTGGTGGGAACACCAGATCAGCAATGCTGAAGTACGTCGAACGGTATTCGGGAGAAATAACTCACCCTCGATAGATGAACTGGTCACACTGCATAGGTTGCTCTGGCTTGGCCAAGTGCTGTGTATGCCAGTCGACCGATTTCCTCAGACTCTTCGCACAACCACGTGAAGGGTGAAAGAGAGCCAGAGGCGGTCAAACAATGACTTGGCAGCGAAGCACGAGAGTCATTACCAGCAAACTCAGCTGCGCTAGTCACTGCCGTCTTCCTGGATGGGGACCCCGAGACGGGCCACATCAATGGCTAGACATTGTCAGATATGGCCCAGTCGCGCCCTCAATGGCGCTCGTGCATCCAGGTTATTGCCTTCAATGCATAGCTCCTTTTCCGACCACTCCCCACACTTGACAGCCCACTGACAGTGCTGGATTTATGAACCGATTTATCAGTTCCCGCCTGCAATGCGCAGCTACCCACCCTTCCCCCCAAATCATCGGTGAACGAAACTGTGGCAGCTACAACCACTGTACGACGAGTACGCGGTTATTACAGCTGGTATGATGATGCACAAATACCTGAGATAAAGTAAGGATGTGGTCAGTGTACCTGGTCTGTCCAACTATTCTTTACTGCCCTCGAACTGTTGTCTTATATGCTGAAGTTACGCATTGCAATATTGTAGAAGAAACTAGCCTTTCTAAGGTCTTTGCATACAAGTACGAGGACTGATACACACTGAACGATGCTCACGGACACCCGCTGCCATTCAGTCGAATCCCCGAACTTTACTAACAATACCCCAATTCTCATAGTGATCATTGTCAATGGTAAGAAAAAGGTAGAACAATGCACCGTGTATATACTGCATAACAATGTTTATTTACTAGAACCTTGGAAAAGTCCTGAGCGTGGACCGAATTTTGACACTCCATCAGGCACTAGAACTGTTGAGCTGTGACACCCTTTCGGTGCCTAGCTGCCACGCTACCCAAGGGAAGCACGAGGACTGGGATACTGCCAGGTTGCCCAAGCCTAGACAGGGGAGGTCGAGAGGCAGAGTTCAGGTTCGAACCACGGACCTTCCCACCAGTAAATTCGAGCTCTAACCACTTGAGCCATCTCGACCCTAGAACACGTGTAAACGAACCACGATCTGTGTATTCCTGGATTCCCAAAACGCTTCGACCCCACTGAGCGGTCTGTTGTCCTCGCTGATGAAGGGATACCCCGAAAATTTTCGGCATAATTTGTTTGTATTCTTAAACTTACGATCGTATGAGACACTGGACATTCCCGAAGGTTCTAGCATAATAACTGGCATCCGACAAGTGTGTCAAGCATTCCCATTCCTATTCAACTTGATCCTCGAAGAAATGGTGAGACTAAGGCTAGGCCTTCAAAACCTAGGTATTCAAATACCTATTGACGAAAACACTATCGAGATGGCTCAGTGGTTAAAGCGAAGTTGCTAACCTAAAGGTCTGTCGTTCGAACCCAAACTCTGAATCTCAACTGCTCCTGCCTAGGCTTGACAGTGATAAAACAAATTAGTATCAAGCCTAGACAGGAGCAATCAAGATGCACAAATGAGGTCAGAGATGTTTCTGTCTAGGCTCGGGCAATCTGTCAGTATCTCAGCCATCGTGCTTCCTTCAGGTGGCATGGCGGCTAGATAGCTGAATGACCATTATCACCTAAGGGGAAAATCCACGTTTTTTGGATGAAGTGACAATCAGACACTAGAACTTACCGTGGTGAGATGGCTTGTGCATCTCTGTGACCCATTGAACTGCGCTCGGAAAAGTATATCACGTTGCAGTAGATGGTTGTTTTGTTGTAGATTTGTGAGATGTGGCCTCTGCAAGAAGCGGAACTAGTGATTCTTAACATCTTCGAAGACCGTTGTCTAGGAACCATACCTCTTGCAGGCTAACAGCAGAGTCCGCAAACAGCCATTTGGAGGACAAAAGGTCGGTTGTGAGGGTCTGCAGGTGTAACTAACTCGTAGTAACTGTAGTAGCCCAGCAGAAAGTCCCTTTATCCCCACGTGCGTGCGGTGGGGATCTACGGAAGTGTGACTCTGCTGTATGCAGCGAATAAGCCTGTATGTCACCGCACCACTGTGTTGGCACTGATGCTTCACTGCCGTATAGTTGTAAGAGGGCTGGGATGCTGCCAGGGCGCCCACACATAGACAGGAGGACGATTAGGGTCCTCAACCAAAGTCTTTGGCTCAAAAGCCTAACCGCAAGGCAGCGGTGTTCGGCTGGAAATGCAAGTACATCACCATTTTCTACGGAACACGTCGCCATATATGTTCAAACCCTGGAGCTGTAACAACCTTTCGGTGCCTAGCTGCCATGGCCAATAAGTTCGTGCCTTAATTTCTGAATTATCTCAAGCCATATAGCTCACATAGCCACACGTCGGTCATGCCTGTCTTGCCCCGAGATTTCAATGCAGGGAAACCAGTTATCAACGTGACTGAGCTGAGTGGTGATAGCTCTCATACCTTGTCGCCAAATCATGGACTGACTGTCCCTGGGTAGCCCCATCCAACACATGGTTGGGAAGAGAGGGCTATGCAGGCAATCAATTCTCTGGCATATGAAGTACATCGCGAAGTACATAGTACAACATGAGGTTTGTGTTGATTCCATCCAGGTTCGCGTTTCACACAGTCAAGATACAAAGTGCATACCGAATCGCGCAGCAAAATGATTATGGTTATTTAAAACAGCCTGCACTTCTAAGGGGTTTGACCTAAGAAAAGTGATATCGTCAGCGTGCTCAATCTCTGTCAGTGAATGTTCGGAAGCTATTTTGATCCCCGAGGCATGTAACGACTCAAGTAGCGCATCGATTACAAAGTTAAGGAGGAAGGATGACAAAACACTCTTCCCTGACTGTATATGAATTTTGGGGCTTGTCGTAGACAATTACGCGTTCACATGAAGCATAGACCCTCGAAAGAGTGACTTAGGAAAAAACGTCTTTTATCGCGACTACCATAGCTTATGGCGACCAACAGAGTCAAAGGCAACTCTGACATCAGGAACGACCAATACTGGTCATTGTCGGAGGTGGCACAGTTTCCGTGCCTGTGGGAAACGAAGATATATCAGTAAAACATCAGTCAAGGAGAAACTCAGCTTGATTCTAGCGAATCTACTCTCCTGATGGTGGATCAACCTGAGCAGGACAACACTAAGGAACAACGTGGAAGCTATGGCCACTTAACTGATACCCCGGGTTGAAACTGTTAGGGTGCCCAGACTAAGGGGGATGATGACAGTTCCCAACCAGCCCTCAATTCAAAAGCCTGAAAACGAGGCAGCGGTCGTCGGTGTATATCTCTCAGAGTAACTTACAAGGAATAAATTACATTTGTTCCAGGCTCGCACTGGAGGGAACGCTGATCAAACCGGTAGGACAGCCTGCGGAAACCGCATAAGCATTCCCTAGGGCGACTCTAAGGCATACAAACCAAGAACTCCCACTCTTTTAGCAAACCAGTGTAGTCAGTGGGCCACGGTGGTCAACTTTCAGATAAAACAAATTCTGAAAACGTATTAGCCTACCGTAAATTTACGCGTGACCATGGACACAAACTGAGAGTGTCAAGTCACTGGAGGGCTAGGCCTCTGACGTTCATAGATCTAGTTCCCATGTGGCTCCAGACTGTTGCTCGATCAACAGTTGGAACAGTTGTAATCCGACTGCCTGGCGCTTCACTGAGTGCATTTACTTTAGCTCTGCCCACCCACTCCTTACCACCAAAACCGTGTCCATCTAACCTTATTTAATCAGATTGGGTGCAGCCATGATTGGTTGGCGACAAACAGCAACCACATTCAGGTGCCTAGGAATGTACCTATCGTGGTGAGAATAGGAAATGCTTCCTTATCATGACTACCTTCAATGTCTGAAAGCAAACCAATGCTAGCTAGGCAAGAATACACCGAGGAAACTATGACCCACAATCTCACTTGGCTTTGATGTGGAGCTGATGTATGCAGCAAACAAACGGCCAGACGTTTCGATCGTTTCGAAGAAAGTACTGGTTCATACTTCATAAACATAAGGTGATGCAGATTAGCGGGAAAAGGGTTGCTACGCATGCAATAGATCATTGACATAGTGCAGTCAGCTAAATTACATTTCACCTGAGGTAGTCTATGGACTGACAAGGAAAGAATGCCAGCCGACCAGTTTTCTAAAATGACGCAATTACTGCCAACATTGCAGCTGGTCCCCTGGGTCTCAAGGGCAAACTGGCCGCCGGAACATACTGTAAACCGCTGGCATTTTCTGAACACGCTAAATGGAGACAGATCTTTAAAAATTTTCCACTCCGCTTTCTTGGAGAACACGGTTTATGAAGAAATTAAGGGGTGGAAAGATGTCTTCCCGGTAGTCGTAAATCTTCGATACTTCAAATATTCTTATCCAGGTCAGTGCGAACTAGGCATACTGCAACATTCGTGATTCCCAACATGATAAGTGGGGACATCAAAGCTGAAGAACTATTAAATACACACGTGTTCAGAATGGTCTCAATGAATGCAATCTCAAACTAGTTAGGGATCCAAGGGTATCGCATATGAAAGTGAACCAACTAGAATCGCGACCGATTGTAACTAGCAGCGTTTAGACGACAGAGTATTACGTATACAGCAGTTCGCATTGACAAGTTTGCTGTTAGGAAACTCAACCGTATGCATAGATTTTAATAGCTCCAATTAGTTACCTCAGGACTGAGTTTGGACAAAATTTGAGGTGCCTGCGGAAAAGAGAACAAGTTGATATGCAAAAGACGAAATCCTCGAACGAACGAACTCATGTGTTCAATTATGCGAAAAGGAAATAATATGAGAAATACCGAGTCTGGAAACATCAGCTGCTAATCGCGCTGACTCTAGTTGGTTATAAACAGGTAGATAACACGTTGTTCCCAACGGTACTTATTTGGTGAAGTTAAGTACAAACGGGGCCAAAGAAAAAAACGCTTATACCACACTTCTCATTTGCATCAATGAAAAGTCCGAAATGTGACCAGATCGGGATGTGAACCAAGGCGGTATGGGCGTGTAACTTCAAGCCACACAAGTTAGTAAGTTTGACCGAATTTAAGACGACATTAAATCTCTGTAAAATAATTTAAAGATGAAATAAAACTACGCGTTTGATTGAAGGAACGCGCCAAAAAGATAGTCGAAGGAAGTAATAGCAACACAGTGGGCGATGGATGATAGACAGCAAAAGCTACCTGGAAACAGCAAAGTTCAGTAAAATGGTGACGGTACTCATGGCAGGGTTTCTTGAACAGTATGAAAATTGCAGGATGGATTGCGTGGCGAGTGTACACGGCTTTCAGAATATGGGTTGAATAATCCCTAGCCTTGGGTGTGCTGGCGCTGGTGGGACTACGCCTTCTCCTCCGGCGATTTCTTTGGTTCTTCTGAGACAAAAGTAAGCAGTTAAAAACCGTAACTTACCCTCCCCTTCTGCATCAGACGTCCATAATGTGAGGTTGTCACGCAGCAGCTGCATGATCAAGGTGGAATCTTTATAACTCTCTTCAGAGAGTTGATCCAGCTCCACGATGGCATCGTCGAATGCGGCTTTCGCCAGCTGACATGCTCGCTGAGGAGCATTCATTATTTCGTAGAAGAAAACCGAGTAATTGAGAGCAAGACCAAGCCTGATGGGGTGGGTCGGAGGTAACTCAGCAGCTATATTCGTTGCCTCCTGGTATGCTTCGTTACTCTTTGCAGCAACCGCAGTTCTCTGATCGCCAACAGCAAATTCTGCCATATAACGATAATAGTCACCTTTCCTGTAATAGGATAGTCGAGTAGGGGTTATTAACTTACATCTTTAGGTAGAAAACCCGGGAATCCGCCCCAGTAGTAGACTTGATCAAATATTTGTCCAGGAGATCCAGTATTTCGGTAGACACTTTATTGATTTCCGATTCCAACTGCTCGCGATATTTTTTCAACGGCCCAACACCCTTTGTATTCCCCCGGACTTGTACGGATCCCTCCAACCCTCCAAAGACACGCCAGGAAGTTCGACGTGCGCCGATTACATTTTTATAGGCCACGGAAAGCAAGTTTCTTTCCTCGACGCTTAGTTCCTTATCCTGTTCGACAACCTTTTTCATGAGGTCAACCATCTCTGTTGGACAAATAACAAACTACGCTTAGCAAGGGCCCGTTGAACGAGCAGAAAGTTGACAATTTAGTCGTAATATTTTTAACACGAGATCAGGTACGGACACAAAATAAGTCTTCGATAAACTTACCATCATAACGCTCAACTTGCTCGGCAAGTTTTGCGCAGTACACGAGAGTCTCACGTTCAGTCATGCTTCCTGTGGTATTGACTATCGTCGCCGAAGAAAACTGTGACCTAGAACCTTGAATTTCACGCAGTCAAACAATTCAAGGTTAGGTTAGGTTAGGGGGCAACACGGATTCACGTATTCACGGGTTGGTACATAGGATCGAGGATTTGCCCAAGTTTTCGGGGTCGGGCTTGTTTTTTCATTAAGCAGCTGTCGTTCACCTGAGAGGTATAAGTGAAAAAAGGGTGTAGCACTGCTCTTTATGTTCTCAGCGCGTGGCAGTATGCTTTCCAGCACGAGGATTCGCATAAATAAATGTCTAGTAGTGCTTTGAACTGCGTTCCAGAAGAAGCGTGGGCCGTCGGAGAAAGATCATTCCACGAAGCTACTACCCAAAATTAGAAAAAGTTTCACCTTATTTCACCTTATGAATATGTGCGCTCTGAGCTTGAAAATCTTATCACTATGTCCCCGCCGTGTGTCTGCTGGGTCACTGGTGAAAAATCTGTTTGCCAAGCCTTGTTCAAACAAGGCACAAGTAAGAATTAGGTTCCCTCGGAGGTGACCGTACTCCATGGGAATGAGATCAAGCATCGCGAGACGCGTTTCGTAGTCCACGGATTTGAGGCCGGCAACCCCGAACTAAAGCTGCCACTTTGACGTGGTGGTCGGGCTTCAGTGCTGCAATGATCCCGCGGGTTGGAGCCAAAGGGGAGCAGCCGAACCAAGAGGAGCGACACCCTGCACTACGAGTAATCGTGGTACGAAGCGGTCCTGGGGTAAAGTCGTACTGTCCTCTGCGACAGGAGTGTGAAGGCAGTAAGGTGTTTCCCCCAGGCGGCCACCATATCCATATTTATGGAAGCAGCAATGCTGCCTCCCCCCGAGGAAGGACGGGTTAGAAAAGTTCCAGCCCAAAAATCGCACACTCCGATCGCTCAACAGTTGACCGTGACCGCCGGTGCATTACCAAATTCGGGCGAAATACTTTTAAAGCCAAGGAGCAAGGCAGCTGCTGTGCGCAGCCGCATCAGGAATGAGACAGTAATGTCTTATTCCCTGCGCCCTCGGGTTAGGCCAACCCCCTGCAGCCAAGCAGGTCAGATTATTGAGTCGTCGGCTTCAGGCAGGGTCCCCGAAGAAAAACTTTCATTCACCCACTGCCTTGTGGGTCATACCTTTGAGTCGGCCTCAACCAAAACTCATTCCTCGGCCTGGGCAACTGGGACGTATCATTTGCCCGAGCAGTTCAGCGTCCACCGATGTCCCTCCTTAACCCCTTCACAACGCACAAGTAAACATCGCTGGGCCATTTGATTGTCAGTCATCTAAGCGAAAGGCCTTAGGCTCCGCGCTGCCTACAAACATTGAACAAAATAATAGCTTTCTAAATCCACGAGATAATTTCTATGTAAGAGCTTTTAACGTTCATACTCTATGTCAAGTTGGTAAACAGGCACTGCTTGCAGGAACCTTGTGCGCCATTAAAATAGACGTAAAATAGTATGTATACTTTCTATCGAGAGCTATCCGGGATCATTTGTCAGGCAAAAGGCACTGACGCTCTGATCCTCGCAGGCGATTTCAATGCTCATGTAGGTCGTCTGAGCTCCTCGGGATCACATTTGGTTGGTCGATTCGGAGTCGATCCTCGCCGCACGGAAAACGGAGATCGACTCCTGAGATCGACGAACTGTTTCTGGCAAGTACGAACTTTCAAAATAAACGTTCGCAGTGCGTTACCTGGCGGTCGCCATTTACAAACCTACCGTGGACCCAGTTGGACCACGTGGCCATCTGCCACAGGTGGAGCCGTTCCATCCGGGGCACACCACTTGATTCCGATCTTGCCATGGTACGCGCACGCCTGACAGTTCGTTTCCCTTCAGGCCCTTGCAAATCGGCAAGATGCATGCCAATCCACCAGCCATGAAGAACTGCCATAGCTCAACAGTATCGATCTGAGCTAGCCCAACAACACTCCACTGTAAACCAATACTATGGTGGCAGTGAGCATGTGGATGAAAGGTGGCAAAACGTGAAAGGAGCTATGTTAGTTGCGTTCGGTGCTATCTATCCGACTTTTCTTATTCGACCACAAGACCACTGCATGTCATCAAGATCACTATCAATAATTGGTGCCAGGGGAGCTATACCAGCAGGCAACGAGTTTGACGGCGCATGCAAATCCCTCAAACGCCAGTTAGTGAAGAGTCTAAGGAAAGACCGAGAGCTCTAGTGGATATAGAAAACTCGGGAGATGGCGAAGGCGTTTGCTACGGGAAACAGCCGCGCCCTATATCAACTGGTACGATCGACTTACCCTAGGAAATCAGCGGTCAGCGAAACGATGAATGAAGATAATGGCTCATTAATTCACTCGCAAAAACGTTGACTGGAGAAATGGGCCGAACACTTCGGAGAGCAGTTCAGCTGTCTTCATCCCACACAGCCAGTGGAGGTAATGCATACTAGCGAATTGAATGTAAACCATCATCGCCAGTCAGAAGATGAAATAAGGTACGAAATATCGTGAGGAGGCACCAGGACCAGACGGTCTGTATCCAGCTCTCTTCAAAGAAGGCGAAAATCCCCGATGACTCACCCGACAAAGATTATTGTTGCTATATGGGACAAAGAGAAAGTGCCAGCAGAATGGGGCATGTCAAATTTTATCCCCATCTTCAAAAAGGGTGTCAGGAAGTGCTGTCTTATTCACCATTCCTCTTCAACTTCCTCAATGATGCGATCACGGAATACGTACTACCAGCATCTAATGCCTATGGGGTCAAAGTGCTACCTGGGCCTCCGCTCACAGATATCGAGTACGAAGACGACATAGCTCTTCTGGGATCTGATCGCGTGGTAATGCAAACAATACTAAATAATCTGAATAATTCTGCCTCGCGGTTTGGCATGTGCTTCACACCTGCAAAGTGTAAATTGCTACTGCAAGACTGGGTGGGCTCGAACCCTAGCCTCACGCTTGCGGATGAACCGATTGAGGTAGTAGACAGATTTGTTTGCCTGGGCAGCTGTAACAGTCCCGGTGGTCTCGTGAAGATGATATTTCCATCCGTATTGGGAAGGCCAGAGCAGGTTTTGCGAACCTACGTCACCTGTGGCGTAGGCGTGACATCAGCTTCTCTGTCAAGGGTCGAGTTTACAGTGCTGCGGTGCGCTCCATATTACTATATGGATCAGAAACCTGGCCGCTGGGCGCCGAGGACGTCAAAAGACTTCCAGTGTTTGACCATCGATGTCTTCGGAGCGTTGCCCGAATCTGGTGGGAACACCAGATCAGCAATGCTGAAGTACGTCGAACGGTATTCGGGAGAAATAACTCACCCTCGATAGATGAACTGGTCACACTGCATAGGTTGCTCTGGCTTGGCCAAGTGCTGTGTATGCCAGTCGACCGATTTCCTCGGACTCTTCGCACAACCACGTGAGGGGTGAAAGAGAGCCAGAGGCGGTCAAACAATGACTTGGCAGCGAAGCACGAGAGTCATTACCAGCAAACTCAGCTGCGCTAGTCACTGCCGTCTTCCTGGATGGGGACCCCGAGACGGGCCACATCAATGGCTAGAGACATTGTCAGACATGGCCCAATCGCGCCCTCAATGGCGCTCGTGCATCCAACCTATTGCCTTCAATGCACAGCTCCCTTCCCATTACACCCAATTAACAGCCCACTGACATTGCTGGACTTATGCACCAATTTATCAGCTCCTGCCTCCAATGCGCAGCTACCTACCCTTCCCCCCAAATCATCGGTGAACGAAACTGTGGCAGCTACAACCACTGTACGACGAGTATGCTTTTCTTACAGCTGACAATGATTATGATGCGCTTTGCAACCTTTCACGTGGCGGCTTGGCGTTTGATGTGACAGCAGTATTCAATAGCGTTCTTAATTGGTGCGCCAGAAGTTACCAGTAAAACGCCCAATGTCACAACGGCTGGCTGATTTTTCGAATAGCTTTCTGTTTGTTTTTCTTCTCAAAATGGATGGTCTCGACCAATGAATTCAAAAGAATACTTTCTGGAACTGGCTCGTGGACGACAAAAATTCATATCGTCCATTTTTTTAGCAAGCATCAATCATTGGAGGTTGCTTGTCGCGTTACCCGTTATATACACATTTTGGCTTCTGTTAATACGTTACCATAGTCTGCATGGGCGCGTGACTGCCATATATGATGTCACACCATCACCTGAAGACACAAAATGGGAGGAACACCATCGCGTTGTGGCAGTCGTCAATCAAGCCCGCTATCCTCATTGCTCTTGTTAAGTCTGTCCGTGCTCAGTATCTTCGTGCACCTGCCCCATATTTAAGTTTCCGCCGGACTGAAAGGTGCCCATTTCAGCCAGATATTCTGTAGATTCAAGCACTCGTGATTGCTCAGACTGGGTGGGTATTTCTAAATTTACCAGCGACCCCAGACCATGGCAAAAGTCATACTAACACCCAATGTCGAAATTCAAAGCTGTTCTGCCGCAACGATAGAACATCCTCGGCATTTTCGTCTAAGTCGTTATAAATTTTTCTGAACCCCGCTTACGGTGTGCTCCGCAGACGTCTACACTTACAGCTTCAGAACTTCCGACCACGTGGTTTACATACAATAAACTCCAGAACAGCTTGTCAAATTGGCGCATTTTCAACAGCAGCTATCTAGCTCATGCCTCTACAATATTGCTCAGACTGGGTGGGTATTTCTAAATTTACCAGCGACCCCAGACCATGGCAAAAGTCATACTAACACCCAATGTCGAAATTCAAAGCTGTTCTGCCGCAACGATAGAACATCCTCGGCATTTTCGTCTAAGTCGTTAGTTATAAATTTGAACCCCGCTTACGGTGTGCTCCGCAGACGTCTACACTTACAGCTTCAGAACTTCCGACCACGTGGTTTACATACAATACACTCCACAAAAGCTTGTCAAATTGACGCATTTTCAACAGCAACTATCTAGCTCATGCCTCTGCAATATACTGCTGGTGAGAGACTGGGGTAACCATACATTCAGAATGCGGGGGCCATGAATATGACAGTACCTGGAGGTAGTGCATGACCATCTTAACTGGATCTCAACGTTGGTCAATTGCTGCTTGGGTGGTCACCGTCTCATAACATTCTTCCAGACCGTCAATATTTCAGTTTTAGATATTGTGTATATCGGTCGCATATATAGCCGGATTCCCATCTATGCGCAGAACCTCTTAATGAACCTTAATTAACAAGCTACTGGTACCTGCGCCCTGGAAGCGGTCTATGCTTCTACTTTTTCATAGCCTGGAT